TGTTCTTGTCATGCTTAGAAAATTGCAAGGGTGTCAGAGCTCTTGTATAGGAATATCCTGCCTATAATTAATCACAAGGAAACTTCCCAGGGAGACTCAGGTTGGTTTCCTTTATACAATGGCAATGAACAAAAAGTTTCACTTGGAATAATGAGTGAAATTGTTCATCAAGACACCTTCACAAGGCGAAAAGCATGGTCCTCCAGTATAAGTTAGAGGTTTTGTTCCCAAGGGCCTTATAGCATCCCTAGTCAATCCTTTCCTCCTCACCTTCTTTCTCCTTTCTCTGAGATCCTGCTCACAGATCTTCTGAGGAAGTGACTCCCACAGTCACTTGACCTGCTCAGTGGGTATGTGACCTATCTCCTTGATCTCAGACAGAAACGGGATCAGCAGCAGCCTCTAAGTATACTCAGCTAATTGAGTTCTCTTTCTGGGGACTGGTCATGGCTTCTGACATGCTACAGTACTGAGTATTTCAAGAGAAAAGTGAAGTCAGCAGATATGACAGTGCTTGGCTCCTGTATGAAGAAGCAGAAAGAATGGGTTAGGAAATAGAGAGAGGTAGAGAGAGACAGGGAAAGAATGCAGATAAGAGCATTCAGAGGAGCAGGGACAGGAGAAGGAAGGAGAAGTCTCAGTTTTGCTTTCTATTTCTGCTTGCAGTATTTTGTGGACAGTCTTGGCAATCTTTGCCTCTGTATCTCATTACAGGCCCTTGTTCCTTTAAAAATTGAACCATTGTCTTTTTTCTTGTGTGGGAAATCACAGTGGGTTTTTCTCTTTGCAACCAAAATATTCCAGGACAGATCTATTTGTGTTATGGTCTCATCTATGATGGTCAGCAATATTTTCAATATGGCTCCTTTTAAACCGAGCATAGCTTATGTTCCTGACTCCAAGAACTGAAAGTCCATGCTCTGTTGTCTGAGCATCATATCCCTCGATTGATCTGTCACTGATGCTTCAACATGCACACGTGCTTTTGCTCTCTTTTCAATATTTGCATCCGGCTAAAATAGAATCTATAATTGATAGCCCCCTCAGAGAAGCGTGGCTTTCCATCTGGGATGGATATCTGAAAATTCGTACCGGGAGCCCAGAGGGTTGGAATGACTCCAAGATTCTTTGTCACACCATTGGCCAAGCTCTCACTTTTCCTTCTCTGAAAGGTGTGAGTTTGACCTTTTGATTGGTCACCAAGATTGCCATATTCAGCTACTTGTGACTGAGACACAAAGGGCTTTTGCAGGAGGACAGCCCACAGGATTCTATTTGAAGAATGCCAAATGGTTCTCGGGGGGCCCAGCTGGTACTGCTATCTCTTGCACAGTACTTGAAATGTGCACAGCTATTTCTGTCAAGTTATAATATTATTGCTCACAATGAAATCTAATATTAAAGTGAAATTTACTTTGTTCTCAGAGAGGGTAGGTAACTACCCTTTAGTTGTGCGACTCTGGGAAAATGAGAACTTCTCTGCTTCAGTTTCCTCATCTGTGTTGTGGTAGGAATAATAGTATCTGTGCCACAGGTTTCAGTGGAGACACCAGCTTTTTGGAGATGCCAGGACCATGGGACAACCACCAAGGGTGGCAGCAGGTGTGGAATGGAGCTGGCCTGGGCTTGTGAGACTGTGTGCTGTGGACGGCAGAATCAGGGAACTGGAGCTGTTGAAACCCCTTGGAGCCCAGAAAATCATGAGTGAATCCCAGATGTCCAGCATTGAGCTACTTTTCTGGACTTAGGTTTTGCTTAGGTATGCCCAATTCTTCCCTTTTGAAATAAGACAGTACTTCTTTCGAATGTTACAGGAGCCCACATTTAAGAGGCTTTTAAAAGAGACAGTGGACTTTTAAGTGTTTGGATTTTTTAAGAAATGTGGGACTTTTAAGGTTGTACTGTCTTATGTTGTGATATTGTTAACATCATATCTTGGGGACAAGAAATGAAACGGTTATGGCTTAATAGTGATGTGTTTCTGTGTCAAGTTGATATGGGGTGAGTTGTGCTGGAAGCTTTAGTTGTCAACTTGACACACCTGGGTAGAGGGAGCCTCAGTTGGTGAACTGCCTCCATTGGACTGGCCTGTGGCCATGTCTGTAGGGGGATTTTCTTGGGTTTTGAATGATGTTGGAGGGCCCAGCCCACTGTGGGCAGTGCCACCCCTGGGCAGGTTGTTCTGTATTATATAAGAAAGCAGGCTGAGCATGGCCCAGGGGCGCAAGCCAGTAAGCAGCATTCCTCCATGGCCTGTGTTTTAGCTCCCATCTCCATGTTCCTGCCTTGAGTTCTACCTTGGGCTCGCTGATGAACTGTGACCTGGGAGATGTAAGCCAAATAAACCCTTTCCTCCCCAAGTTGGTATTGGTCAGAGTGCTTTGCCACAGCAATTGAAACCAAACTAGAACACACGCTGGCATTGAACTTTCAGTATAGCTAAGAGTTGCTTCGAATGCCTGATCTTTCTGTTTCTACGTCTTTCAAATGCTGGGATTATGGTATGCACTACCATACCATACCATACCATACCATACCATACCATACCATACCAGGCATACTTGCCTGGTAGGGTTTTAAAAGTCATGTTTATTTAGGTATAATTCATAATTCACATACAATAAATACATCAATTTTTGTGTGTTTTTTGTAAATATTTTTATTGAATTGTGTATTTTATAGAGAATATCTTAATCATCTTTACACCCTCTTTCCCATTGGCACCCTCCCATAGCCCCCCACTGGAATTCATGCATGCTGTCATTTGTGTTAAGACCTTACTGAGTCAACTTAGTGTCCCCAGACATCCCTCAGTGCAAGTTCATTCACTGAGATCTAGTCAACCTATCTAGAGTCCCTCCCTTTAAGAAGAACAGCTCTTTTTCACCTAGCAGTATTCAACTGCCAATAATTCTTCAACTAAGATTGGGGCCTGCTGCCTATTTCCACAGTTCTTTGCTGGGTTTTTGTCTGCTTGAGTTCGCATGGGTCTTCTGCATGCTGACACCATTTCTGTAAGTTCACATGAGAAGGGTCCCAGGAACTGTAGGACTCTATTTCCACATGGTCATGCATTTCCTCCCTGGCTTTTACAATCTTTCCACACCCCCTCTTCTGCAATGGTTCCTGAGCCCTAGGTGGGTGGAGCTTAATATAGGGGTTCTGTCTAAGGATTCTTATTCTCTATGCTTTGGCTGTTTGTGACCTTTTGTGTTCCTGGTCCTCTGTTGCATGAGGGAGCTTCACTGATGAGCATTAAGAGATGCATTAGTGTTCTCTTTACCCTTTGTTCTGTGTTCTGTGAGCTTAGATAGAGAAGTTGCATTATATATGTGTCACTTAGGCTTGGGCAATTCACAGACAATGTCTGTGTATGACCAGATGTGGAACTCTGTAATAGTCTCTGTCTTTGATGAGTGGTGACTAGGATACTTGTCTGTAAATATAAGGATCTACATAGTAAGATTTTGCACATAGTAAGCAATTACACTTGTCTAGGGATGTGACAGCCTTGGGGTTTTCTCTAAGATCTATAACCTTTACAGCCATGTGTATTTGGCTGTTTACAGTACCATCCATGAATTTCCTCCTATGGAATTAACTTAAAGTCTAATTAGGTAGCTGTTGATTACCCCCAAGATAAAAGTGCCACTACCCCACCAAGGTTGTTTGCTGTGCCAGTCATTGATGTGGTTATTAGGCCTTAAAGCTGGGGTTGGACCATTGATTGATGTTTTCCCTTAGCAGCTTGCATAGTGCTCTCCAGAGCTATGAGAGGTAGCTTTCAGGGGAGGTGACTTCTGGTTAACTCCAGCTCTATTGCTCCTAATCCTGTGTCTGAAGTATGTTCTGTCTTCAGCAATAGGGTCTTACCTTCAAGTTCTGGGAGGCAATCAAGAGCTATGGCAATAGCCTGTGAAATTTTGGGAGTCTCTTGGACTACCCTAGCAAACAACTCAAAGGAAGGTTTCTCCTGTCTGACACTGTTTCTTGTTATATAGCCTTCCCATAAGTCTATTTATAGGGAATCTCATTCACAACCCTGGGAACCACTGACCATTTGTTTTTCTTACAGGTCAGTAAAGCTTTGATATTTGAATTTATATCATGTAATGAACTCTGTTAGCATTCTATAGCTCTTATCTTGGTTATATTTATACTGTATTTTCACATGATAAAAAAACTTGTTCAAGATTGGGGAGATAGGTCAGTTGGTAAGGTGCCATGTAAGCATGAGGACCTGGGTTTGATCCCCAGAACCCATTTTAAAAAGCTGAGCATGGCAAGTGCTTGCAATCCCAGAGCCAGGGAGGCAGAGGCAGGTGAATCCCTGGGGACCACTGCCAGGCAGCCTAGTCTACGCTGTGAGCTCCAGACCAATGAAAGCTCAACAATGAAGGTAGACAGCACATGAGGAACAGCACTGGGTACCAGACTCTGGCCTCCATATGCACATGTACACACACACACACACACACACACACACACACACACACTTGTTTTTTTTAAAGAATACAAAGTGGATGATACAGACTTGAGGGAATCCAGGGAGCCAGTAGCTGGCGGCCTCAGAGCCTGCAGGGGAGGCTCAGGATTCCTTAACATCACAGTGGTGACCACACACACACACACACACACACACACACACACACCCCTGCACACATACAAACACACATGCATAAAAATATTGTTGTATGCCTTTCTCTTCTGCTGGAATTATGTACACATGAATGAGGGAAGGAATTATCCAGCCACTCATTTCTGTATTTTCAACAATGTTACCAAATAGATGCTTGACAAACATCGTTTGATGAATCAATGAATAAATGTGAAACTCCATTTTTAGCAGAAAAATGCTCTAAGTCATTACTGACTCAGCAAAAGTAGTATTCATTTTATTATGGTGTAAAGCATCTTATTCAACTATTTCTGAAGAATGTGTTTAAAACTTTTGGAGTTACACTGAGTAAAAATCAGCAATATGAACCAGCTCATACATGATACAAATCAGATAGAAACATCTTTAATCATTTAATGCTGTATTTTACCATCCATGTCCATCATGAATTTAAAGCTGTTTACTTTGTAATCTTTGCACTCCATATATTTTGCAATAGATCTGACATGACAGTGATGCTTAGGAGCAAGATCATGAAGTCTTCAAAATCCAGTTTATTTTCTGTGTGCTCGTCAAGGTCAGAAAGGATGTCTTGGTATTTTGGCTTGGCTTCTTCTCCCTGTGAGAATAAAGAATGAGTGGAAACTCGTTTTATTGTGTAAGCCTTGTTTTTACAGGTCATAAACAATAGCAAGTGCGTTATTAATAGCAATAGTGGGGTGAGTACTACCCCTTAAGTGTGGACTGAAACTTTTCTGTGGCTTGTCTCTCTGAACTCTTACTGTGATCTTATTGCATCAGTACTGTTGCCACCAGGATCCTGAGGATGGACTATGAGAGGATTAAGTAACTTGCCCAAAGGTAAAACAGCTTTTGCTGTGGAGCCAAGATTTGTGGTCTTATCTCCCTATTCCAGAGCCCATACTCATAACTGGTAAATCATTCTGCCTTTCTTTGAACATAGATTGTTGTTTCTCTAACATAATAAAAATATAATCTCTTTGCTATGGGAGGCACCTTTGATGTGCTCTCCAGACTGTAAGGATCCCCAGAAATACAGAATCAACTACGCCAAAAAGAAAGCATATTAGTTTGGAAGATTGTTCATTGTTTAGTCTGACTGGAAATCATATCTGGCTCATAGCTGTCATGAACCGACTGCAGGAAAACACCTGAACAGCACATAAATGGAGAGACTTTTCAGTTCCAGATCATGGCTTGAAACACTGACAGTAACATGCAAAGGTCATTTGATTTGCTCTGACACTGAGCTGCATTTGCATTTAGTTCATCCCCAAATACCCACCCACATGCTTGCTTGCTCCAAAACTCCTAAGAATGCTTGAGATACTTTTGGAATAATCGCACAGACTAAGACCCATCTTTGCTTCCCTAGGCTGACTGTCCCCCAGAGGTAACCTCATTGGCCTGAGCCAAGGGAGCTTTCCACTTACTTGCTCCAAGCGAACTGAATACTACTTGGAATGGGTCAGATTCCAAGATGCAGATAGGATTTACTGGTGGGACAGTCCAGTTTGCTCAAAGGTCACAGATACATGTAAGTCTGTCTTCATTCTTTATCTGTGTATTGAAAGATCCAGGGAGCTGAGTGGGGTCTAGTCATCCTAGGGCATAACCAGCCATTGTATCTTTGTATCGTTTTAGCAACATCTTCAGGTTTTATTATATCTTACTGGTGATGCGTTAAGATACTGGAAGTTGTGTTGGGGCTTAAGAGAAATGACAAAGGATGCTTCCTTTTCGGATCCATGCTTTAGCCAAAAGGTCCAACACAGTTTACCAGAGAACTCCACAGAGTTTAGGCGAAAGGCCCATTAGGAATGGGGGTGGTGTCTCTTGCCTTTTGCTGTGGATTGCTGCTCATGCCCATGCCTTAGGGACTCTCACAAAGCTGTACTACTGGGCCAAGGCGGTGTTCTGATTTTACATGCTTGACAAACTGTCACCATTGATCCAGAGAATGCCGCCTTGAGCCCCTGAAATATGGCTCTGCTTTCTGGTGCCTCATGTTGAGCAGAAGGTAGGATTACAAATAAGCCTATGTGTGTCTGCTGCAGAAATTGGCCACCTGTGTTGGAGTTTACTCACAGGGAGGAACATAAGGCTGAAGACATCTTTCCTAATGAATGGTTTTAATTTGCCCCCCCCCCAAAAAAAAGGGGGGAAAAAAAGGGTGAAGCCTTTTTTCCTAAAGAATGTTTTTTATTTCCCCCCCCCCCCCCCGCCGCACCCGATGCTTTCCGAGGGATGATATCTTCTCTCAGGATGATGGTCCCACTAACCCATTTTCTTGCTTGTTAAAAGCCCTCTGAAGAGTTTCTGAGCCTCCAGGTGAGGGTTCTCTCTGGGATATGTTGTTTATTTGGCACCAGATACAGACAAATACAAAAAGATTCAGTCCCATCTCCTTTATTTAAAGACTTCCCTAAACAGTTTATCTCCTGTCAAATTCTACCTGGTAAAGACTTCCTAAACAGTTCATCTCTTGTCAAATTCCATCTGGTATTTCTAGTTAAAAATAGCTTTTCCTTAAAAATATTTTTAAAACAATGCATGTATAATATAGAACATTTAGAAAAATATTTTAACAAGAAAAATGTAAACATACAAACATAACTCCCAAAGATAGCTCACCTTCATTAACATTGCTCTCTAGTCATTTGTGTATGAGAGAGAGAGAGAGAGAGAGAGAGAGAGAGAGAGAGAGAGAGAGAGAGAGGCACATGGAGACACACAGAGACAGAGGCAGAGGCAAAGACACAGAGAGAGGTGTATAGTGTACGTATTACGCATGCATATGTGTATAGCTTCAGGCAGTGCAGGTCATGGTGTACATTTGGAAGTCAGAGGACAGCCTTAGGGGTGGTCCTCACCTTCCACCTTGTTTGAGGCAGGGTCTCTTGTTGTTTGTAGCTGTGTACACTAGACTATCTGGGCTGCAAGCTTCAAAGTATTCTGTCTCCACGTTCTGTTTTGCTTTAGGAATGCTGGGATTAGAGATGTGAGCTACGGATCCTGGATTTATATGGGTTCTGGGGATTCAAACTTAGATCCTCATGCTTGTTTGGCATTTTACTCACTGAGTCAACTCTCCAACCCCTCCAGTCTTCCCATGCGCACGCGCGCACACACACACACACACACACACACACACACACACACACACTTTGATAGAATCAGAGGTTCACAGGAAGTTAGACCCTAGATTTAGCTCTTTCCAGTAGTTTACATCTTCCATGACTTAGTACACTAAAATGATATATGTATATATACATACATTTATAGAACAATATCTTTTTAATAGCTCAGAGCATACTAGGAACTTAAGATAGTTTCTATTTTCTTTTTGTTATACCTATCAGTAAATATTGGGGGGTTTAGACTTGGTCGCAGCTTTCTTTCCTTTGTCTAAGATTTCCCTAGGCCAGCATTTCCCAAATTATTATTATATTTTTAGTTATTCTAAAATTTTATGTGTATGAGTGTTTTGCCTGCATTTTGTAAGTGCACCCATGTTGTGCAATGCCCACAGAGGCCAGAAGAGGGTATTGAATCCCCTGAAACTGGAGTTGCAGATGGTTGTTGGCTGCCATGTGGGTGCTGGGAGCTGAACCTGGGTCCTCTGGAAGAGCAACCAGTGCTCTTAACTGCTAAGCCATCTCTTCGGCTCTATATTTTCCAAATTATGAACACATGCTCATGATAGAAGATAAGGCAATTACAGAGGACGCCAGAAAATCTATTGAACTAAAAACAACAGTCATTTATTTCTTACTATAATTTTCTACTTTTACCCATTGTGTTCACATTTAGGATGGGATAAAGTATTCCTATTAAACAAATTTCTTTAAACATGGAGAAAATGTAAAGAAAAAATTAAAAGTAAATGATAATACAGGATGTGAGCAGATGTGGAGAAATATTGATGGTAGATTCATGACTCAAGTTTGCAAAATGTGTCTAGGGGATTCAGGGTTCTCTCTTCAGGCTGTTTCTGTCTGCCAACTGTTACTTCCTCATTTCAAACACAGACCTCTAGTCTAACCTCCCAATTCATGTGTCCTGCTGCTGTCCCAGTTGCCCACTAGAAAGTATGACCATCTTAAAAGTGGCTCGCCTCCTCCTTGCCACCCCTCCCACCTCAGCCTGCTCTCTTCTCTGGGCGGCAGACTGTTCATTTCCTCTCTGCAGGAGAAACTGTGGTGTAGTCTTTGCTTCCCCATCCCCATCTCCAGGTCAGTCATTTACCAGATCCTGTTCATGCTCGACTCTGACTCTCCTTCATGCTTGTGTTTCCCTCCCTCCTCATCCCTCTGGCCTAGTCTCTTACCATCCTTCATTTGGATTGCTCCTCCTTAGTTGCTCTTTTCTTTGCTTTCCCGTCCCTACCTGTGCCCTAGTTTCTTTTCTGTAGCCACATGCAGCGAGAGTCCTTACAGTTGGACTTAGATACCATTTCTGCCTTTTTCCTCCTGTCAGGATATATGTCTGTAAGAGCTGACTTCTCCAGACTTCTGGAATGCTCATTTCCTACCATTTCCCATTCTTTCCCCATCTTTACCAACTACTTACTTACCTGCTTCCTCTTCCTCACCTGCTTCAGGGCCTCTGAGCACCCACCATTCCCTCTGCTTAGAATGCCGTTGTTCTTGCTCCTCCTTGCCTAGCTAATTCCTGATCACCCTTCAAATATTAGCTACACTTCGTTTTTTTAGAATCTGTTCTTTGACCTCCCACTCCACGATAGTCCTTCTATTTCACCCCTTTACTACATGTTCTACTCCGTTTGGTTTGCAGATATGAGTCACCAAGTCCACCTAGCATATTTCTGAACTGAATGATTAGTTTGTTCATCAAGTCCAGTGGCCAACCAATACACACTAGATGCTCAATAAACATTTGTTGATCAAAACAGCATGATGGAAGCTTGGTGCTGGGTTGTTTTGCTGTTTGGTGTGGGTTTTGTTTATTCGTGCAGGCTAATTCTCTTACCTCTGTGAAATTCCTATATTGAGTTTGCAGCAGATTTTTGGCAGTAGATTTTCCAAGTTTACCATCAGGGTCAGAAGAGTTTTTGAAAATCAGAGCCACAGTAGCAATGGCCTTTTCCAGATCTGAGCCTTTCTTTAAAGCTACGAGAGAAGAAATGTGTGGTGAAGGATCTTAGACTGTGGAAAGGGAGTTGCAACGTGATCCAGTGCTTAGGCACATCACCCACTTTCTTGGAGTGGGATTTGGGTGTGTCTGATCTTTTATCTTTTTTTTAAATTTATTATTTTTATTATTTTATGTGTATGAGTGTATTGCCTGAATGTATGTGAGTGTACCCATGTCGTGCAATGCCGCAGAAGTCAGAAGAGGACTTTGGATTCCCCTGGAACTGGAGTTAAGGATGGTTCATAGCCACCATGTGGGTGCTGGGAATCGAACCTGGGTCCTCTGCTAGAGCAGTCAATGCTCTTAACTGCTGAGCCATCTCTCCAGACCCCTGATCCTTTATCTTTAAGCATTATAGAGAAAAAGTTTATTTCATAGCATTTGAACTAGAATTAGGCTGAGATTTACCACCTGCCTGCCATGTGACCCTGGGAAAGCACTTTGCCCCACTAAGCCTTGGATGTCTGAGATGTAATGTCATTCAGTTAGTCAACATCTACTGTGTGTTAGGATCAGAATTTGGTGTTAAGGATACCTCATGTAATAACATGAAATCCTACTCTCATGACTTTCTATTTTGAGCTATATACACTATCATTTTATGTGAATATGATAAAGGGAAATGACATCCAGGACAAACTCTTTGACTAATGGTGATAAGGAGTCTTTTTCTCAAACACTGGGGTTGCCCAGAGCTGGTTTCTCTGGTCTGGGATCCTTGCATTCATTTTTTTCCCCAATGGGCAGCACCCAATGAACACAGAAATGCATAAAATACTGGGAAACAACTCTATACTCTGAGTTCACTTAGTTACAAACCTCTGTAAGGACAAGCTTATCGCCCTTTGCACCTGTCACTTGTTTACCTTTCTTTCCATCTAGACAGCAACCTTCATGAAACCAAAGCTCATAACTTCCTTTTTGTTTCTCTATCCCCAGTACCAGCACCAATGTTTACAGCACAGTAGGGCTATTAATGCTGTTGAGCAATGAATAAAAGAAAAACAAACACAGAATCCCACAGCTTTCAGGCCAGGAAATGTGTAACCATCATGGGTTCAAATATGATGTTCAGCTAGAGGAAGGCTCAGCATAGAGGTGACAAAATTAGATGTGATCTCTGCTCATGTATGTATATCTTAAGATCTAGAGAAATAAATATGAGTCAAGAAGATCTGCAGCAATGTACGTAAATATTTGTTTTTTACATATTTAACAACACATGAAGAATTCAGTTTGCTTTACCTTTCCCAGCATTTGGTTTTGTCACTACTTTTTATTTTAGTCATTTTTGATAGGTGTCAGTAGTATCTCAGTATGCCTTTAATTTATATTCCAACTGACTAATGATGATAAAAATCTTTTCACATGTTTATTTTCAAACTATATATATAATTTGTTGATATGCCTATTAAGGTCTATTCACAGACTTTGCTTATTTTCAAATTTACAATTTTGATTTAAAAAGTATTTTTAGGCATCCCTGGGTTGCCCAGCCACCAGCTTCCTGGGGCCAGCATCTTTTCTGAAGGGATCTAGACCTTAGGAGAAAGCATGAGAGCCTCTGATCCTCATCTGACTTGGGCCTCTGTGGGAACTCCTGAGCAGCGAGAGGAAAGCAATTTGGCCCCTTGAATATAAAATCAAAGGAGAGAACCTGAAGCCGAGATCAACCAGCTTTTCAAGCCCAACGAGTAAACCACAAAGGCACATAAAGTTTACAAAAAGAAGCAGACCGAAACTCAACAAAGGAAGGCTTGAATCTCACACAAGAATCAGAAACTACAAAAGAAATCCACGTGTCAAGGTCACAGTGAAAAAATAACATGAAAAACCCAAATAATATATCCCTACCAAGTACCAACAGTCCTGTAGAGAGGAGTACAATGAAAAACCCCTAGAGATAACACAGGGTGTAGAATTCTAAAGAACAATCATAAACATGATGAATTCAGTGAATTTAAAGAACACACAAACAAAGAAATCAAAGAACTGAAAGATGGGGATAATCTTCTGAACTAATTCAAAAAAGAGTTAGAAATATTGAAGAATACTCAGGCTGAAATGAAGAAGGAAGTGAAATTCAGTAAGCCAATTAGAAATGACAGGAGAAAGCCTCACCAAAAGGATGAATGAAATGGAAAACAATATCAAGACTGGAAGATAAAGTGGATGAATTAGACCATCCAAGCAAAGATTAAGAAAAATTTAAGAAAACAGAAGAATGGAATATGCAGGAATTGTGTGACACCATAAAAAGACCAAAATGACAAATCATAGACATAGAGGAAGGAGAATTTCAGGATAATGGTATGAGCCAGGTCTTCAACAGGATTGTAGAAGAAAATTTCCCCAATTAAAGAAAGACATGCCCATACAAATACAAGAAGCACATAGAACACCAAATAGGACCAGAAAAGAAATGCTCCATGGTACATCATAGTAAAAACACTAAATGTGCAGAACAAAGAGAGAATACTGAAAGCTGCAAAAGAAAAACAAGAAGTCACATATAAAGGAAAAACCATCAGAATTACAGCTGACTTTTCAGTGCAAACTATGAAAGCCAAGAGAGTCTGGACCAAAGTATTCCCAGTTCTAAATAACCACAGATGCCAACCCAGATTACTTAACCTATCCAAAATGTCTATTATAGTTGAAGGGGAAAGAAAAATCTTCCATGACATAAATAGGCTGAAAGAATTCATGTCCACAAAACCATCCCTTTAGAGAGTCCTTGAAGCAATACAAAGAGCTGAAGAAAGGAACAACTATACCCAAGGGGTTACGGAAAGAAACTTAATGAAGGTATAACTGTGGAAATACACAGCTACACCCAAGAATGTGAACAAAAATAAAAACAACAGGAATCAGTACACATCTTTCATTAATAACTTTAAATATCAATGGACTGAACTCCCCAGTCAAAAGACACAGACTAATTGAATGTATAAAGAAACAAAACCTATCTTTTTGTTGTTTGCAAGAAACCCATGTCGCCCTCAAGTACAGGCACTACCATAAGGTGAAATGATGGGAAAAAAATCACCAAGCTAATGGTGCTAAGAAAAAAGTAGGCTTTGCAATTTTAATATCTGACAAAATAGACTTCAAACTAAAACTAATCAGAAGAGATAAAGAGGGCCACTTACTTCATTCTGATCAAAGGAGCAATTGACAAGATATTATAATCATGAACATATATTCACCAAACTCTGGTGAACCCAACTTCATAAAAACAGTACTACAGAACTTTAAGACCCAGATTAATCCCAACTCATTAATAGTAGGGGACTTCAATACCCAATTGTCTTCATTAGATAGGTCAACAGAACAGAGAACTACCTGAGAGACATCTGAATTAAACAATACCATACATCAAATGGGCCTAACAGACATCTACCGAATACTCCACCCAAGCACCAAAGAATATACTTTTTATTCAGCACCCCATGGAACTTTCTCCAAAATCGACCATATACTGGGGCACAAAACAAACCTCAACAAATACAAAGTGATTGAAATAACTCTATGCATTCTATCAGACCACAACGCAATAAAGCTTAAAATCAATACCAGAAGAAACCCTAGTAACTACATGAACACATGGAGATTAAACAACACACTACTGAATGACGAATGAGTCAAAGGAGAAA